ATCCCAGATCGACCTCCCCTGCAACACTACCAGCGGCGAGAAGCAAGCAACAGCATCGTGCATCAGGTGGCCCAAATGAGGGCGGATGAACGATAATCAGAGGCGGCGATCCATCGTGGCCTGGGACTGCTATGTTCCAAACAAGTGGTACCAAGATTACCAAGATTTAAAACATGCAAAACTGCCAGACCATCAACCAACACCAGACACTCTGAAAGACTCAAATCTTAACGACAAGTTCTCGAGGCGGTTGATCAAGAAGCCGTGATGAACATGTATATAAAATAGCCCGAACATAATATTCTCTATGCTAACGATGACTAAAGACCAATAATGATCAACAGTGTGTCGTGATTAAAGACCGCAATTAACCGCTGAAGCGCACATTAATTATATGCAAATAAAGTAAGTCAAGTACATAAAGAAATCGATCCACCTCCGTGAGATTATTTTCAGTCGTATTCTTGACACAAAGTACTGGCACCAGCAATAAAGTTTAACACAAATGCAAGACGCTTAAACTCTTACGTCATAAAACTGCACCGGACTAGACCTGAGTTTTAAGTACCTATGCAGTTGAGCTACAGACGAAGATGTGCACTCCAGCAAATGAGAATGGTAATAGAGATCATAATTCACTGCATTACCATCGAGCCCTGGACGCTGTACACCGTAACGGCCGCATAACCAGCGACGTAACTGACATCGGCAGACACAAATGCCTACGGCCGATGCATAACTTCGAGGTCGAGTTAAAAGACGAACTTCATGCTGGTAATGTGGACACTTATTTACTGCAGCGCATCAGAGAGGCAGAGTATCACGGCCTGCAGCGTTTCACGGCCTGCAGAGCACCACTCACCCAGTACGGCGAAGGGCTTGTTAACCACGGGGGAGTGCGGGGTGATGCTGATGGTGGGGATGGCGGGGGTGAAGGTGGTCACGGCGACACCATGTGGGTAGTTGTGACCCACATTTGTCGCGCCTAGAGGATCCCCCGAGCTGACGCTGTCCATCGTGGGGATCTCGGCCATCCGCACGAGGCGGCGGCCACCATGCGAGGGCTGCGGTCTGGAGGCAGGGAGGAACAATATTATAATTAATAATTAACATTACCGGGAACACGGAGACAATCAAGGAGACAATTACAAGGAATCGTGAGTATTCAAACCACTTGATTGCTTAAATTGCAGGTATATCACGAAATTAAAAGCAAAGGAAAAGAACCAAAAAATTTAACATTTCCTAAGAATGAAAACGTTTTCATTCTTAAGAAATGATGAATTTTTTGGCTGTTTTATTTGCTTTTACATTCTTGATAAGGAATCATGATCCTCAAGCTCTCCTGCCGTCAAGCCCGTCATGTTTTCTGAAGCAGATTTTGTACTTCACTGCTCATACTACTGAAAATAAAAAATTGTTTTAACTTTAGATAAAATATTCTGGCAGCGGATAATACAGTCCACACACAGCATTTGCCTGCAATTGCTAATGCTGCCTTACCGTGTCATGCTGAATCTTGTTTGCATTCATCAAACGAGATTTAACGATTCATCGAAGGTGAGATGGAAACTAACAATGAGAATGCTTGCAAAAAAATGTAAAAGTCTGAAAATTTGTCTTAAGAAGTAGTTCAAAATTAAAATAGAGATATTATTCAGCCTGGCCAAAAGGCGCGTTAGGCACTCAGTAGGCAGACAAAAGCCTGCGCTGCCGTATCGCTGTTCTCATGTAGCACCTNGAAGGTGAGATGGAAACTAACAATGAGAATGCTTGCAAAAAAATGTAAAAGTCTGAAAATTTGTCTTAAGAAGTAGTTCAAAATTAAAATAGAGATATTATTCAGCCTGGCCAAAAGGCGCGTTAGGCACTCAGTAGGCAGACAAAAGCCTGCGCTGCCGTATCGCTGTTCTCATGTAGCACCTCGCAGGGTGAGGGAACGAGGGGCGAGTGAGAGGGAAAGAGGGGCGTGTGAGAGGGTAAACGAGTGGGGACAAGTGGCAGCATGAGGGGCGCGAACACGTGGCTTATCAGCGTGACTGTCACTTGACGAGGCAGTGACAGTGTGACTGTCACTTGACGCGGCAGTGACAGAGTGACTGTCACTTGACGCAGCAGTGACAGAGTGACTGTCACTTGACGCGGCAGTGACAGAGTGACTGTCACTTGACGCAGCAGTGACAGAGTGACTGNATCCTCGTCTTTATTCTCGCCCAACAAAACCAGTCGGGCATCTAGACCGAATCTCGATACTGACTTCATAGGTCCCATAACCGCCATTAACAGTAATTCAGCAAATAACATAGGTGCAAAAATAATGAGTAGTTGATTAAATAATGAACCTCGATAGCCTAATTAACAAAATGTGGCGCGAATAGAATTTTTCTAAGAAATACATGCCTATATATGCGTAAAAGCGAGTAGGGAAAGATTAAGTTGAATGTCAGGAGTACTGTCCGTAGACTGTTTCATGTTGCAGCGAAGACGTCCTCTTTAGTCTCGGCATCAGCATCACTTTTCTTTGATTGGCCCAAAGAAAACGAGCTAGCAGCTGGCAGATTTCGCTAAATTTCGAGAGCAGTTTGATATTAGCATTGACCTGACGGTGGATAACATTACATAGCTTGTTGAAGCCACAAGCAATCCAACATCCTGAGTAAGATATATAGATCACATGGCTACCTCGCCATTGTATGAAGCTCCAGATGCTCTTTACTGTAAGAATAATGTAAATAATGAAAGTGAATTTTTGAATGAAGAGAAGCGCAAATTAATATTGCCACTTATCATTTTTGTCTTCTATCGAAACTAAACATTGCAGCTGCCATACGATTGCATTAAACACCTGAAGGATTTGTAGTGTTGCATATAACGTAGAAGCAAAGTTATGCGTGCTCCCAGCACGATGAGAAAATACCAACCCTAGCTCCAGTCTTCGGAAGTAGGAATGAAAATGGCGGAGGAATAATGAAAGAAACACATGTATCACATTATGGTTTACCCAAACAAACATAAAAACAGCACAAGAAATAAGTTTTGGCAAGGTATTTATTCAGTTTCCTACACGGTAAGACCTTACCAGGCGCAATATAAAAAAATGATATGAATGTGTCTTGGTAGCATGAAAAGTAATTAACATAGACAGAAGTCTATATCAAGTCTACACTTTACTACAGCTCAACACGGCGATGCAGCTAAAGGCTTGTATCGCCAGCTACATGTCATTCAACCATCCTCTTTAGACTCATTGTTGTATAGGCTGGGCCTGGGAGTCTGGAGTACCGTAAAGCACCGAAGTCTTCCATGCGCGCAACACCAACATCACCGCGTAGTGCACAACTTTGCATCATTGGATCCTTGGTGTTGTGGAAGTAGCAGTCCTGTTCCACAATGAAACGCAGCCTCTGTATTCAGCTCCTTACTCAAGTCGTCCTTGCCGCCAAGACCCTTGAAGACAGTGGAATATAACTACCTTGCATCTCCACTCAGATGGGCAAGCTGATACACGATGCTGTTGCGTGCTTCGTGCCAATTGTTATGATGCTTAGGTAGACGATCGGGAATTGTGATAGAACTCACCTGCGGCCACTTGAAGGCCTCTAAGGTGAACTACCTTCTTCTAAACCACCAACAAAGTTTCAAATTGCCTCGGTTTTGCAAGGGATGTTTCCGTCAAATATTTGGGGCCTTTAACGCAGTCTGCCCCTTCTCTTGTTGTGGTGTCACAATCCTGGCGGAGTCACTGTTAGACTTGTAGTTGTAGGTCAGTCTGATAACTAATATTTCCTATGTGTATGGAAAGTTTTACATTTCACGTACACCACAATCCCCGAGTGATACACACACTTCAGCTCACCACGCAATGTGCACACTACACAACCCAGTGAAGTGCCCTGAAAAAAATCACCGCGCTGTGCCATGACTAAACATACTCGCGCAGTACGTGCAACAGCTCATAGTACAGCAGAAACGCACAGCATAGCATGGAGCACTACACTCTATCCTTTACCAAAACCACAGTTGAGGCAGCGCGGTCGCTAAGGCGATTAGCATCGCCGCTAGCAGCGGGCAGTCGCATGAATAAAGCAACGTCGTCTCATTGAGCCGCTCGACCGTCGGCCCATCACACGGACATTGCCGGCAGCAGGGGAGTTGACTGTCAGCCTGCGATACGGAGGCACGGATGTCAGCGATAAGGAGGCACGGATGTCAGCGATACGGCGGTACGGATGTCAGCGATACGGCGGCATGGATGTCAGCGATACGGCGGTACGGATGTCAGCTATACGGCGGCACGGATGTCAGCGATACGGCGGCATGGATGTCAGCGATACGGCGGTACGGATGTCAGCTATACGGCGGCACGGATGTCAGCGATACGGCGGCACGGATGTCAGCGATACGGCGGCACGGATGTCAGCGATACGGCGGCATGGATGTCAGCGATACGGCGGTACGGATGTCAGCTATACGGCGGCACGGATGTCAGCGATACGGCGGCACGGATGTCAGCGATACGGCGGCACGGATGTCAGCGATACGGCGGCACGGATGTCAGCGATACGGCGGCATGGATGTCAGCGATACGGCGGCATGGATGTCAGCGATACGGCGGCATGGATGTCAGCTATCCGGCCTTCTAAAGAAACCTCCAAGTACGACCAAGAAATCAGTCACGAGTGAGACCAAGCGTCCTCCATGAGATGCCCTATGGTTAATTCGTGCATGCTACCGTCAATGCACGTACGAAGCGTTTATCACAACCGAGATGGAGAAGTGCATTGTGAATGAGTGAATAGGCTATTTATTTGTGACATAATCTATACAAAATACTCATCCGCTTTATTTGAAATAGTCAACCAGCCGGCCTTCTAAAGAAACCTCCAAGTACGACCAAGAAATCAGTCACGAGTGAGACCAAGCGTCCTCCATGAGATGCCCTATGGTTAATTCGTGCATGCTACCGTCAATGCACGTACGAAGCGTTTATCACAACCGAGATGGAGAAGTGCATTGTGAATGAGTGAATAGGCTATTTATTTGTGACATAATCTATACAAAATACTCATCCGCTTTATTTGAAATAGTCAACCGGCTATTACAAATTTCATTCAATTAATCACGTCCATGACAGTCAAAGTTATACACACACCGAATGTGACAGAAAAAAATCAATGCGTGAATTGAATGGTCTAAATTCCTGACTTCAATGGAAGAAAAAAAACGACAAGACGAGAAGGAAATTAGTTGACAGCATAATGAGGTCGCTGACCTGAGTAAATCCGTTCAAGGTTAAGCTCAAATTTTCCCTCACATCGAATAACTTTCCATAAAAAATGATGACAAATCTTGTCGGATTGCCTGCCAATAATCGTAACTTTGTATTGGTAAGTAGTTTTGTTGGTTTTAACAGCCGTGGTCTTTCGATTGTCCCTCACAATTCGATTTTGTTACCGACGGTCACTCTCAAACAACTTCGGCTTTCGGCCAGACCAATATTGATTAGATCTTTCATTTAAAAGGGGGCGAAAATTTTTAGCTCGCATCGAGCGATCGCGTTTGCGGCCGAAACTTGCCACAACAAACGTGCCGCGGCAATTACTGCCTGACTTCCCGGTGATGAGGCTCGTATAGCTCCGGCTTCCCAGGTTCTCAAGTTCTCTTCACACAAGCCAGAGACGCACGGTTAAAGCTGTTTATTTCTTTGGTATCACTAATCATTGGTGCAAAAATAGAACAGAAATCTTTTCTATAAAATTTTTGGTGGTTTCAAGTCAACGCCGACACGCGTAGGTATAGAAGTTGCTTGATGGGAAACACTCCCTATAATACGTATGAAAATAATAAACTTGCAATGAAGAACGGATAGATCTTACTATATATGCATTTAAGTAGAAGGTACCATTTCCTCATACATATGTTTGTAACGGACTGCTGGCCCCCGAGGAGACAGAACAAAGGCAGACCTGCAGGGACAGACGTTCACACGGATACGAGAAATTCAAATTTAGCGCGGCCGCAGAAACATTCGCATCTACAGCTGATTTTGACGGAGCTCGATTAGCTTCTCTGTTTTATTTTTTATAAGAACTGCTGCGGTTAGTGCCTGTGAAGAGAGACTTGTTTGATGGCATCAGGAGGAGCGCGCAGGTCGAGTGTATAAATAATTATTCATGTTTTGCTAGGAGACAACAATTGGCGCAGTTTTCATAAAATGGAGCAGGAGGCAATAAAAGAGGATATTATTGAACATTTACGCAGTATTTTGAAATGAAGCGACATGCCGAGTTCATTTCCCTCTTACTTGATCTGCGCCATTGTATATGGCATGCAGATAGCTAAAATGTTCTGATAGAAGATTATCTAATGTTTTGAATATTTAAAATTGAACAAGATCACTAACTATGAATAAGTTTATATAGCCCAGTGAAAAACAAAAAATTTTCTGGATACACGGAGAACAGTTTTTTTTTTGCATATTTCACATATCGTATCTTAGCGTATCGACAGAGATAACTGATAGTAAGGGAACTGGCTGCAGGAACGGAGGAGCGAACGTTTGAGGGACAAAATTGAATAGAATGTTATACAAATGTAAAATACGTTCTAGTTGAGATGGGGCTTTAGAGCCCAAAGACTAATAATCTTACTCAAGTTTTTTGCAATCAAGCCATGGAAAGATCATGAGGCATGCAATGCGATTCTATAGTTTCATTTCGTAATTATGAGTTTCTTATGACCCTTCCATAAACAAAACGAAAGGGACACGGTGAAATTTAATATATCATATTTCGTTCCTTAATGAAGATATACTCGTATTATCCGCACAAGATCGCTGCAGCGCAAACAAAACCGAGCCTGAATTTGACGGGACTTAACCGGGCCAAGGATTGAACCGTTCCCCTCAGATATACAGGGTTAACACAAAATGAGGGAACATCTGAGAAATCCACAAAATATATTTTAATATGCTGTAAGTCCATCTTTTGCGGCAATTACAGCCTAAATTCTCCGAGGTATAGATTCATAAATATTGTGAACTGTTTCCAAAATGATTTTAACCTATTCTTCAGTTAAAACTCCTTCCAGCTCCTTTGAAGACGATGACGGCGGATATCAACTTCCGACTCGCATCTCTAAAATCGACCATAAATGCTCGATAATATTGAGGTCTGGAAATTGCAGTGGAAAAATAAGATGCTCAACTTCGTAAGAATGTTCTTCGTGCCATTTTCTATCAATTCCAGCTTTATGGAACGGGGCATCATCATCTTGATAGATGGTGTTCCCCTCCGGAAACAGTGCTTGAACCATTGGATGAACTTGATCCTCCAAAATTCCTAATAAGTCACGGCTGTTGATTCTTCCACGAAAAGAAATAATTAGTCCGCCGGATTTCAACGAAATAGCACCCCAGATCATCACAAATCCCCGCCATGTTTCACGGTTGAGAGGAGGCAGTTAGGAATTAATGACTCTTTTGGCCGTCTCCAAACGTAAACTTGGCCAGAGGTTGGAAATTAAGAAAACGATGATTCGTCAAAGAAAATCTTTTTTTTACTGCTCCAGGGACCAACTCTGGAGGTTTTAAAATCACTCTAAACGCCTTGAATCATTTGTACTTGAAACCAGAATTTTTCTAATTCCAGCTCTGCCATAGAATCCAGATGTGTGCAGCTCTCGGCGTACAGTCTCGATAAAAACTGGGTTTTGAAGGTGTCCATTGAGGTCTGAAGTAATTTTAATAGCCTTGGTGTTTCGATTGTCCCTCACAATTCGATTTAGGTACAGACGGTCGCTCTCAGACAACTTCGACTTTCGGCCAGTCCTTGGCTTTGCTGAGAACGTTTTTCGTTCTCATTCAAAAGCAGTCATTTCTTCTGAGACAGTACCTCTAGAAACGTCAAGCATTCGGGAAGTTGCTGTCACACTAGCACCTAGCACCTGCCATGCGTACGGGCACCAACAATTTGGCCTCTTTGAAAGTTTGCCATTTACAGGTTATATATTATAGGTTATAGACACAAAAATTTAATAAAAATATCTGTGCAAGAATATATATAATTTAGCAGCAACAATAAAACATAAAAATATGTCACGCTTTCATTGTTCGCAACATGTTTAAAAATGGCGATACCAAATTGTCAGGTATTTCCCTATTTAGGTCCAACTTCTGTAAATGTCTTCTGATTCAGTGGAGTTAGTTTTTCACAGGCTACTGGACAATGATAATGCGATGTACCGTTAAATTCCCCGTTAACAGCGGGAAACTGAAGCGCGGTCGAACTGTTTATTATCACGGCCTGTTTTCAAACATTACACTTTCGGGGAGATAAATATTCACTTCTGCCATAAACCGGGCAACAAAACTTCTTTGTCATCGGAGACGCAGGTTAAACTCATTCGCTAGTTCTTCGCCACCCATCCATCTAGACTTATTCATCCCTCAACGAATGAGGCTCCGTGTGGCCTCGCGAAGATCTCATAAATCTCTACTCTCTCATGAATGTCAGGCCTCCTCATAATCGCCTCATGAGGTATCGCATCCATTCCTCGTTTTTCTTACACAAGGGCCTCGTCATAATCGCTCCATGGAGCCACCATTCCCCGCATCTCACCCAAGACTCCATGCACCTCCACATAATCGCTCCATGGAGCCACCATTCCTCACAGCTCACCCAAGAATCCATGCACCTCCACATAATCGCTCCATGGAGCCACCCATTCCCCACATCTCACCCAAGAACCCATGCACCTCCACATAGTCGCTCCATGGAGCCACCATTCCTCACCTCTCACCCAAGACTCCATGAACCTCATAATCGCCCCATGGAGCCACCATTACCCGCATCTCGCCCAAGAACCCACGCACCTCCTCATAATCGCTCCATGGAGCCACCATTCTCAACATCTCACCTAAGACTCCATGCACCTCCACATAGTCGCTCCATGGAACCACCATTCCTCACCTCTCACCCAAGACTCCATGCACCTCATAATCGCCCCATGGAGCCACCATTACCCGCATCTCACCCAAGAATCCATGCACCTTTTATAATCGCTCCATGGAGCCACCCATTCCCCACATCTCACCCAAGAATCCACGCACCTCCACATAATCGCGTCATGGAGCCACCCATTCCCCACATCTCACCCAAGAACCCATGCATCTTTTATAATCGCTCCATGGAGGCACCATTACCCGCATCTCGCCCAAGAACCCACGCACCTCCTCATAATCGCCCCATGGAGCCACCATTTCCCGCATTTCACCATAGACTCCATGCACCTCCACATAATCGCTCATCACCCTCAGCCACACTCTGCACCCAAACACATCACCCTCAGCCACACTCTGCACCCAAACCCATCACCCTCAGCCACACTCTGCACATAAGCTGAGCGCACAGCGCTCTTGACAAAGAGCATTTTATTCAACCCTTGTAACACAACAATTATTAACGTGTAATTGTTTCAATACACGCGGTATTGAGAAAATAAAGTTGTAGCAAAATCGTTTTAAAGAAGCGCACTCGTTGGCAAGTGGCTTGAAGAAGGTGGACGACGGAGACGGCGCATCAGCGCGACCTTGGACCAGGAAGTCCTAAATTCGACCTGAGGACACTAGATGATGTGCATTAATACTGCACGCTGGCTGCCTCGACGTTCATCGTTGTAATGACGCCTTCTTTCGCATCCTCTAATGATAAACGATCAGCAGAAGCAGGCTAGGCGCCACGAAATAATTCAGTCTTGGTTTTCGTCGCTACGAAGTTGGAAAATGAACATGAAGTTACAGAGTTGAGAGATGATGTTTGCATAGTCACTTCGTTTGTACGAGCTCAGATGAGACACTTTCTGAGACTTACGCCTAAGAGACTCGACAACTCTGAACAAACAACCATGAGGCAGTTTCCATACACCAAACACGAACTGCGAACATTAGAACAAACACTGCCAGGGAATTGGACCAGCAGCAGTCGTCAGGATATCTGGCCTGAGGAGCAGAACAAAAGCGGCCTGAGCCAGCAGGCTCGTCTGGGCCAAGGCCCCTGAGAGCACTCAAGGCATTAGACCAACAGGTCACGAAGCCAGCGATTCGCTTCCTTTTTCCTTTCTTGAGCCAAAAAGATTTTTCTGGGACAACAAGGACTAAAATTCCGTCCACGAGAACGTGCTCGTGTTATTCTCTGCTCCAGCAGCGAATTCCAGAATACACTTTTTTTTAATCCCGGGGATGACCGAGTTTGACGAAGAAAAAACTTTCTAGTTTAGGCCGGCGACGTACCTGCGTTTACAAACATTTTGAACCAGCTCGACGCAGCCGAAAATAGAATCGGCAAAGTCGATGCCATTCAGCTTTGTTTTGAAACCTACTTGTCATTGTAAACCGCACTGCGCCACGGCACACAGTACGTTATTAGCACCAACATGAGGCTTCTTATGTAGGTGTATCACACGCAAGATGATAGCGTTGAAGTATTATGTCGTGTACTTCGATAACAATAACTGAGCTATATCAGCACACGGCAGCAGGCAATATCAGCACACGGCAGGAGGCAATATCAGCACACGGCAGCAGGCAATATCAGCACACGGCAGCAGGCAATATTTATCCTGCCATGGGCTGGGTTATCCTGCCATGGGCTGGGTTATCCTGCCATGGGCTGGGTTATCCTGCCATGGGCTGGGTTAACTAGCCATGACGACCGCATCGATTCAGCGCACGCATTGCCAGGAGAGGAAGCATTTAACTGCTCGTAGTGCTCGTACTGATGCAGCAATAGAGGAGTTTGGCAGCAACGTTGCCGCGGAGATTGATGAGTATTCGAGGGAAGACTTTCGCAGCATCATTACCTGCCGTGCTCCAATAGCCGCCAGTGAATGATAGCAGCACTTTGCTTGGCTCTATTGCCTTGCAATCATATATAGTCAAAAATATGCATGTATAGTACAGAGTTTGGACAAAAGTAACAACTCTTTGTATCATAAGATTTTAATATGCTTTAAACAATAGAAATACGAATTTCAGTGTTTTTTAATCATTCTTGACTTTTATAGGTTTATCAGTAAAAAAACTAATGTTCTAAAAGAGACAATAATAATCGGATGAGAATGCCAGAGCTTACGAAATTTACAAAGGTCCAAGTTGTTGCTCAAGGGGCCGGCTCAAAAGTAACAGAAGATACACGAGTTCTCCACGTTTCAAGATGAACTCTCAAAATTAAGGCTTGATTCGAGAATGGTAGAAAAAATGTAACTCAGTACTCACTGCAGTGAGTGACAAAGAGCGCATTTTCTCAAAATCGACGAAAACGTAAAATCACGGACAGACAGACAGACGGAAGGACGGATGGACATGACGCCCACAACAGCGCATTTTTTCCATAAATGAGAAAATGCGCTAAAAACGTACTCAGCAATACACGTATAAATCTTGCAGAAAATCGGAGTTGTCTGAAGGATTTTGTCGGACTTTAAATCGTTTTGTTGGAGAGGCTCGCGAGACCGCGGCTTCTCAAACCACTGCAGAGCTTCTCGGCCCACACAAGCCATGCAGAGCCCATTACAGCTGTTGGTCGGGCGCTGCATTAATACGGATTCCAAGCAAGAGCTACAATTAGGAAACCTAGCGTTCACAGAGTCAGGTGTTACAAAGCGTTTAGATGTTGCGTCAGATGTTGCAAAGCGAATATAAGTTGCTTCAGATGTTGCGAAGACCTATGATGTTGCAAAGCCTTTATAGTTGCGTTAGACGGTGCAAAGCACTTAGACGTCGCATCAGATGTTGCAGAGCTTTAATATATTGCGTAAGACGTTGCAAAGCACTTCAACTGCGCTTCAGATGTTGCAGAGCGCTTAGATTGGCGTACACCTATCATGACTTCTTTGGTGCGCTTCATTTTCTACCGCTCGATTAGTTCTACCGTACAAATTGGTCAATCGAGCGGTAAAAACTTTTTGACTCCTTCAATGAACCTTCATTTGGCATTTTTCTAACCTCTGGCCGAGCGTCCGTTTCGTCCTAGCAGAAATATATAGAATCCAAACTGTCTTCCAACAGCTGTAAAACTTGGCGGGACTCCTGTGATGACACAAGGTGTTATTTCTTGTCAATCCTCCTGACTCCTTCTTCCCTGTCAATTAATCCTCTTCTTATCAATCCTCATTTCATCCCGTGAGATGATAAGAAACCCAGTCTAACTTTAATTTGACAGAGCCGCGTTGAATCAAAACGTGTAAAGACAATCCATCCTTCCATGCACCTTTGATGGACAAAGAATGACAAGAGAAACAACATTCAAAACAGATTCAATATCCCAACGGCCACCTCAGGAATGCCAGGAACGATAACAATTACCACAGAGTGGTTACGCTGCGCTGAACTGTGGTGTCTCATGGCAACGATGGCAACATTCCCGATGTAATGAAAACCTGGCCTGGCTGTCCGCAACATAGTCTTTATGAATTGTAATATATCTTTACCCCGCTCTTATCTATCTTTCGTGAAGGACGTTCATCCTGTTCCCCCTATTAATTAACTATCATTATTTACTAGCAGGGACTGTATTCACGACAGGCACAGCCAGCACAAGCACAGGCACAGCAGACAGCAGGCACAGCACAAGCACAGCATGCTTGGCAAGAAGGCAGGACTCACCGGAGGAGAGGTGGTGGGCGCTGAGGCGGCGCACGCTGTGCAGGGGCGCGTGGGCGCCGCAGGTCCACTCCATCACGCGTGCTCAACCTGCCCACAACCAAAACTGATTACTGCACCAGCACTGTACCAACACTGCACCATCTGTACCAGTACTGCACCATCACTGCACCATCTGTACGGCGTCTACTGCACCAGCACTGCACCATCTGTACGGCGCCTACTGCACCATCTGTATGATGCCTGCTCCATCAGCAGTGCACAATGTGTGTGGTGGCTACTGCATCATCGCCAGCACCAGCAGCATCTGAACAGCACCTATTGCATCACTACAATCATCATCTGTACGTTGCTTTCATTACAGACTGAACTCTAAATACAGATTTGTTATCCGATGAGGTCGGTCCCCCACATTACATCCTGCAGTCCCCCGCTTCCTTCAATGCGATGCATCACAATCCTGAAAGACTTGTTTTAAAGTTACGGACAATAGTCCGATTCTCAGTTTCCATGTAAACAGGGTTATTTAGCTTATCCTTTTCCTCTGCAGTATAATACAGTTTCAGGAGTATCAGCCAGCCCCGGTAACGCAGGCCCCCCTTTTGCAGATCCTGGACGTGAAGGTCTGCTGGACTGCCATCAACTGCCGCGTTTTATCTTCAGCACTACAAACTCGGTCACGTGAATTGCATGATGGGCCTTTTGATCGTCAACACTCGAGCGTGGTCCTCAATACTGAAGACTAACGGTGGCACTTAATTCCTAACCCAAATTGGCATGGCGGATGAGGAAAAGAATCGCCACCACGCTGCATGTACCGCCACAACGCAGCAGATTTCACAATAATTTCACCACAATGAATGCTGTTCATATCATAATTTATTATACTGTAATAAAGAATGCATTAGATTAGCTTGCTTGCAGCCTCCATCAGCGCAGCCGTTCAAAAATACCTGCGGCCGTGTTTTGCTCCGCGGCCTCCAGCTAAACTTATTAAAGTTTGCACCGCGGCAAAGTTGGCGTCTTGTTCCTATGTTCTCGCAATGAACTTGAACTTCTAATTGAGTTTTGTTTTGCAGAGTTTTGTTTTGCGGTGGCTTCTTTAAGACATCCGCTCTCGTGAGCAGCCATGGCTGGCATAAGACATCCGCTCTCGTGAGCAGCCATGGCAGGTATAAGACATCCGCTCTCGTGAGCAGCCATGGCAGGTATAAGACATCCTGAAACTCTATGTCTTCGCAGACAAGCTTTTTACTGCGGCTCGCGCGAAAGTCTCGCCCCGGCGCGCTTTTATCAGCTGTGGT